AAGTTTCAAAAACTATATTTTTGATTTTTGTCTATTTATTCAATATTCTACTAATTAAATCTATTATATTGCCTATTCAGAAGTTATTTAGCTCACTGAGCCAAACATTTTGATATATATTTTGTTCAAAATAAACTAAACTTATAAAAATATAAGTGAAAAGCAAAAACAAAAACTTGTTCTTTGTAGGTTTTTTCATTGACAATTTTAGGAAAATTTTTTGGAGTGTCCCAAAAATTTCACCTTTTTAGTACTTATTAGAATTTTCTAAACACCCAATTAGCTTACCTGAAGGTTAAACTTTTTTTCAAACTTTTCTAATTAGTCTGAAAACCTTTAAATTAAACAAATTTTTTTGAAAAGCATACTTAAAAATCTATTTTTAGAAAAAAATGCCAACCTTGTCTACAACTGCACAAGATACTATTGATCTTGACTATTTTTACCAGAAGTGTCTTAAAAGCTTCAGAATTAGTATCTATAAGGATGCATCATGTCTTATTCTTGCAAACAAATAATCAAATAATTGTATTCATACTAAACTTAAAGGTAGTATTAAAAGTAGTCACTACTTCAAAGCACTGGAATTAAGCTCTATTATTGCTTTTTCTGTGACAAAGTACCATATTTACTTTATATCAACAATCAACCAATTCTATAAACAACATAAAATGATCTCCATTATCATAAAACCTAGAGATAAAAAATTCTTATAAATAATATTTCAAACTCTACTAAATTTGTTTTACTAGCACCTACAGCATCTCCTTCACCTACTATACACAACTATCTTTGTGCCAAATGTAACTTACCTATTGCCTGCAAAGAAATGAACAACTAATATCACTTAACATCTAATACTATTCTATATAATGACAAACCTATTATAAAACTATACAGAAATCCAACAACCTATTTAACAATCAAGTATTTTTCCAATATTTATTTTAAAACTTCAACAATCAATAGATCTTATAATCCACTAGCATCTGAACTTACTTTTACCATCTCACCTACAGGTACTACTAGCAACACAAATAACATAAATGTAGATAACAACACAATAACAGCAATGATCAGCAACAACAACAACAGGCACATTAACATTAATTATATCTTAACAAACAACAGCAACACCAACAGCAGCCAAACCAACAGTAACAACCACAAATACAAACAAATACTACTAACAATCAATCTAAAATTAAAACAAATCTAACATTTGATTGCCTTGCTAATTTCCTAATCTCTGATGACATAAAAGACAAATCACAGCTTCAAACAGAATTCTTTCAAAAAATCTTCAACTTCCTTAAATCTTATCTGTATGACTTCAATTTTGGAAAAGAAATCAAACCTAAAACTTCTAAGCAAAAAGCTCTCAAGGCCAGCTTCTATTATATATTCATAAAATAGCAGAAAACAGGCCTCAATTCCTTATTGAATTTATTCAACAAACAAATGCTAATACTCACAAAGCTATTACTATCTCTTGACATATTGGAAGAAACTCTTAAAAAACTTATTTTTGTCTTTACTACAATTTTATTTACAAAACTCAATTATTCTAAAATCTTTGCTTCCTTAGCTACTATTCTCCTATACACAAATCAAAACTGAATTCAACTTTGTATTATTATTGCTAATATTTATTTATATCTCTTAAACAATTACCAAGCAATTAACTACATTAAATTTGCTAAAGACTTTCAACCCTAACCTAAAAGATTTAATATTATATCAAAAATAATTGACTTTAACAAGGACAAGTAATACTTTATAATTCAATCTAATAGCAAATTTAATATTTACCTTGACTTTAATATTCCAAAAACTCTTTTTCTTTACAAACTTAATATTCTATTACTTGCTAATTCATTGGACTATTTAAAACAATAGTTTAAACAATTCTTTCTAATTTATAATTGACAATTCACTCAATCATTAGATAAAACCAAAGATTTTAATTCTCTAAAATACCAAATCCTACAGCAATTCATTCTTCATCTTATAGAAATTCTACTTACAGAAATAAAATTTCAGAAACCTAATAATCTACAAAAATATCAAAATGAAACTATAAAACTAGCCAACTTTTATATACTTACTTGTAAAGAAAAAAATTGCTTTTATTTAGAAGAAATAGCAATTCAAAATAAGTAAAAAGAAATAGAAAATCCAAACTTACCTAATATAACTTCAAAACCTCAATACCAACATAAATACTCACAACTACTAAATAATATTTTCAAAAAGTCCTTTAAAGATTTTCCAAAATAAGAAAACAAAATTTGAAAACAACCTGAAATTGATCTATCTATATTCTATAAAAATAGCAAACATAAGGCATTTTTCAATAAACAAATCCTAACTACTCTTCTTGATGAACTTGCAGCAGAAATAAAAAAATCAGCTTGTGCAATCAACAATGTTCTAACTAATACTAAATGTCATAGCTATTATTTCTATTTATATCTTAACTTATATCAAAGCATTGCAGCACAAAACCATCATATAAACAAACTTAACAAACAACAAGTTATAGAACTTCTTATCTTAAAACCTATTAGCACTAAGCTATTGGCCAGAGTTTTGATCTTTTACAACTCCTCTGACAAAAATTTTACCTATTCACAAATTAATACTTATTATTAAGAAACAGCCTATTGAGACAAACAAAATATTACAAGAAAAATTTCAAATGTTATACTCTATATCTTTCTTAATTAAAGAGTCTTTCTTCCTTAAATAGGCTCCTTTTCAATAAATCTGTTTTCTACAAACCTCATTAATGCAGCCACCACCTTGTCAAAAGATATATTCCTATTAGTTAACAAGGAAGATGATATAAGTAGGCAGGTGGTAAAGCCCATTTACATGAAAGGTCAGTTAATGATAGTTAGACCCAATGTATAAGGCAGACTATGGTACTTTGCATAGCTGTAAGAGCTAAGCATATAGTGATCAACTCTGTAGAAGACAACTTTAAAAGATTATTTTCAATATCTTTAGCCCTCTATAATCTTTATATATGTTTTAACAAATTTTTTCTTTATTATAACATACCTTTTCTTTCTCAAAATCAAACTATCTAAACACTTATACAGCATATTGATAAACACAACTACAATCAAAAAGTTACTAGTATTATATTTTTTGTTAATTCTACTTATAGTAAAGCTTATATATAGCTTCCTAATAACTTACTTCTCACTAATTATATTATCATTTTCTTTTATTTTCTTTCTCAATTTTACAACCTTCTTTTGAAATCATATTTTTTCAACTCTACTTCTAACATATCTGACTTATTTATTAACAGCACTTCATCTTTACATCCACTAACAAACAGGTTACAAACCTCTATACCAACCCAAAATTTATATGATCTATATTTAAATATTGCTACATACAATGTTTAAGGCTTTAATACACCAACTAAAAAAGAAGCTTGGCAAAACTACTGTCTTTATAACAACATCAATATAGCATGTATTACTAAAACAAAAATTGCTAACAAAACTAATTTTTGGTTTTGCAATAACAATCTTTTTACCTATTTCTAAGCCAACTCTGAAAACTCAGCAGAAGACACTGCTATTATAATTCATAACCAACTTAAATCTCATATACATGATTGTTAAACACATTCTAGTAAAGCTATTGCTTTAAACCTTTTTTTCAAAAGTGATATTAAACTTCACATTATAGCAGTTTATCTTTCCTTTACTGATATGCAGAAATATAAAAAAATACAAAACAAAGTAATTATATGAATTTAATAAGTCCATCAACTAGGGCTGTTAATCGATCCAGTCTGGACTAATGATCCTTCGGTCCATCCAAGAATTGGGCTAGTCTGGTCCCTTTTAGGATAGACTGAAAGAATCATTGGTCCTAATAGTAAATATTAAATAAAACTTATTATCTTGATAATACGTATTTTAAACCAACTATAAAATGCTGTTTTTACTTAAATCGAAAAAAAAAGTTCATTATTGTCAATTACAAACTCTATAGTTTGTTAAACAAGATTAAACTATAATACATATATAATAAGAACAGGCTGCTGTTAATATTAATAAATAAAGAAATTTATTAATGGCAACAATAAAGTAATCAGTTGATTTATAATTGCGACATGAGTTTGAAACAAGCTAATAATTCATTTAGATGAATAATAAGAATTATGATTTGCATTCTGCTAAATTAACTACTAGTTTACCTCAAACTTGTGTTCTACACCTATATGCAAATACAGTATATTGTTCAAAATCTATATTAAGTGTAATCTGCTTAATTCGCATACAGTTTTGTATTATTATTGTTCAATTTATAGATTATCAGACTATTTAATATTGATATGCAAAATTCGTACTGATAAGGATTTATATATAATGTAGATCATCTGGATTTAAACATTATTATTGCTTGATCATAACTTTATTGAATTATAGTAAATGAAAATATACATATAAGATATAAACTCGCTATTTGATATTATCTTCAAGCAATAGTAAACTAATTATAATATATTATCCTAAGCAAGAGACATAGCATTGAAAGAGAATCAGAAGAATAGATAGTAAATTAAGCTAATAGACTCTTGCTAACTCTACTTAAAAATTATAAGAACTCTGTAGTCATTTTACTAATAGTTAGTCACTAAGCCACTTGAGTAAATTATGCAGTTTTTGCATTAATAGTCATTGAGCTGTGCGATTTATTATCTATAGTGAGAATAGGTTAAAAGAGCCAGCCTAGTACTATAAGACAGGCAAAAGCAAAACCAAAACTAATACTTCTTAAATTTACTTGTATCTAAAATACTTACTATGATACAGATATTTGCCTTAACCTTAACCTGCTTATATGTATAGACTGCACATGCCAATACTCAACCTTTACATGAAGGTTTATAAGAACTTTTCATAACTTACCACCTTTTCATAAGTGTTGTACTCAAAATAAACTTTTCATTTCCATTAAACTCATTATACATGCCCTACTCAGCATCGCAATCCATAAAAGAATGTACATTTTCCTATCCTGCATATAGTATGAGATCTTCTGATCTTGCAATAATGCTAGCCTTGTTACTTCATTGAAAAGCTAGACAAATCATACACTAGTGCTAGACAATAATTCAAAAATTACAATGCCAAAATATTATATACTAAATTTGGCTAATTTATTTTGAAATCAAATTTGCATATTTTATGTTGTTTTTAAACTTTAAATTCTTGCTGGCCAATAACTTTAACAACCAGGCTTCCTAAATTCTCATGAATATATATCTATATAAAAATTGCTACTTAATATGTTTGCTGTAATCATTTCACTAATTTGTTCACTTTTTATATTTACATTAAGCTTATTATAGATAATTAATTATTATTGAAACTTAATAAAAAAAATTACTATTGTATTGTAATGTTAAATTATTTATTTTCCAAACTATATTTATCTACTATATTTTTATATAAAATAAATTTGACATATAAATGCTACTAAAAGAAAACCTGTAATTGGGCTTTCAATTATATTTTGCACTGGACTTATTTTCTAAGAAATTAAATAGATTTTGTCTGATACAAAATATAATTTAAAGCCTGATTACAGGTTTTCTCTTGGTGGTACTCATATAAAAGATAGTAGTACTAGTAAATTTTAAAATTTTATCACACTGAATAGCATATTTCTAATATAAATATCCATATCTGCAAGTTATATAATAGTGTTGAATGACAATTTGGATAGCAGTTTAAGTAATATTTTTTTAAAATATTAACGGTGAGGCCATGTGTTTAAGTAATATTTAAATTATGCTATTTAACATAGTAATAATAGAATTTTTAATTTTATTAGTATAAGATAAATGCTGCAAACAGGAATTTTGATAGCTGTAAATAATAATATAATATTATAAAGAGTTTAGTACAAGATAAATTTAGATATTATAGCTAACACCAAATGAAATCTTTAAAGCCTTGTATAATTAACCATTTTAGTTTTATAGATTTAATCAAATAGTATTTAGAAATAAATTATATTAAATAAAAATTTATCAAATATTTTTTACAAGTTTTGTCCTGTATTACTTACATATAAAGTAGTTCTTATAGCAAAGCCATGAGCAAGCAAATATTTATGCATTTTTAGCCAAGAACCTGTTATTATAAAGAAACTATATATATTTAATAAGTGATATAAAGTTTTTTTTTGTTAAGTAATTTGAAGAGCAATAATAAATTATTAATTGATTTATACAATTTAGCTATTAATTAATTTGGCAAAATTGTAAATTTAATATCAATAAATTACTTGTTACTATTAAAAGTAAAATTTGTAAATTTTTATATAAATAAGATATTAAAAATAAAAATTTATTGTTTATTATCTATATACCTTCAAAATTGTACTTTAACTATGAATCGTAATTTTATTGTAACTTGTTCAAAAGCAAATTCAAATATTGATGAATTTTTGTCTGATAATCTTGATAGTTCAAGTAGCAGTAATGAACAAGAACCTGATAACTTTGATGAGTTTCAAGTTACTCAAGATATTAAAAGTTCAGATAATTTAACTGAATTCAAACAAGATCAAGATATTGAAAACTTAGATAATTTTTGGCAGAATTTGAACGAAATCAAGAAAATGAAAGTTTTGATACTGAAATATATGATAATTCATCTACATTGCATAATAATGAAAATTATACTGAAAATATTCCTATAACTCATTCAAATAAGCAACAATCCTCACATATATAGAAATTTTTTACAGTACTTGCTACAAAACAATGTAAATGCAATTATTGTAAATGTATCTTTAGTAATAAAACAGCAACAAGCACTCTTGATCAACATATTTAAACACAACATATAGGACTATATAATAATTTTTGTCAAACAGCTTTAGATCATTATAGACGTTCTGAACCATATCCATATAATATTCAAGAAAAAAATATAGCCCTTTTGTTAAAATGGATTATTGTTAACTTACAAGCATTTTGGGTTGTTGAAAACTTACATTTTAAACAATTTATTTTTGATCTTGATTTACATTTTCAGCTTCCTTGCTGGCAAGCACTTCAAAATTTAATTATTTCTAAGTTTGAATTACAAAGAACTTTAATTAAAAATTTTATTTCCAATCTTTTTTGTAAAGTTACTTTGACAACTAATATTTGGAGTTCTTGTATTATGACAAGTTTTATAGCAATAACTTGCTATTTTATAGATAAAAATTGGAATCTATGTTATCTTCTTTTAGATGTTTTTAAAATTTCTTCACCTTATACTGGCCAAATAATTGCAAATATTAGTTTATCCCTTTTAAATAAGTTTCAATTAGAAAAAAAAAATTTTAGCATTAATTTCAGATAATGCTAGTAATATTGTCTTAGCTAGTAGTATAATTAAAAATACTCTTGCTAATAATTTTCTAATAGTTTATTTCAACATATTCACTATGCTGCACATATTATAAATATTGCAGTTAAAAAAGGCTTAAAGTTAGCAAATAGATATTGTTAACATTAAGAGTTTTACACATTTTTGATCATAACTTTTGATGTACCGAACCAATTTGAATGAAACAACCACCATTGGATTCAGCTCACCGAGACGATTCTAACGAGCACAAGATCATGTGATTCTGATCACGGGA